ACAAAGCGGCCGACTCACTCAAGAACATTATCGTGGATATTTCCAAGTCCGCGCGCTTCGGCACGCCTATTGGATTCTGGGAGGATGTAATCAAGGAGCTTCCAGCAATTGCCAAGGAGGTCAGCAAGGGTAAAACGCCCACGGAGAAGCTGGAAATCGCCAACAGAGACATCCACCCGGTCGTCAAAGCATGGTCGTACACGCCTATTGGCGCACTCAACGAGTTTCTCATGCAGGAAGCGGCGAACAAGACGCCAATTGTGCAGGGTACAGCGGTGGCAATCAACAGACTCTGGTCGTACACGCCATTTGGTTGGTTCATCAATAGGGTGTTTCCAGTAGAGCCGTTGATTCGACAGAGTAACGTCTAATCCCTGGGTTCACGCCACTGGACCACGGCTACCCCGAGCATTAGATACTGTTGGAAGAGACTGGTTGTCTCTAGAAGGTTCTATGATCATAGTGACATTTGTCAGCTCCGTCTATATGACACGGTGCCTTCCGCTCCTTTCTGTAGCTAGAGATCATCATCAGTAGATCACTCATTCATTCTTTCGCAGTCCGTCAAGCAGGCCTGTCATGGAAGCAAGAACGACGAGGTTGGCTTACAAGTGGTGCGATGATTCATCTGTTGGGCTTGGGGTGCCACGTACCAAACGAACCAGACTGTCATTAGGTAGTATCAAGGCCGTATAAGTTAGGGACTTCCCTCCGGGCGAAATAAAATCCAACCAATCAACACGCAGGCAGATGGTGCAAAGCGGCTACGCCATTCCTCCTTCGACACATCACTAAATCTTGCAATCGAGGACACCATGCTCGAAAGGCATATCCGGCACGCCATGTCGGCCAAGCGGACTCACAGCGTTTCCTGGGTCACCGTCCTCACGCTCCTCGCCCTCACCTGGTTCTTCCGCGACTTGCTGTACACCACATGGACCCTGGCCTCCTTGCGATTCAACTGGCGCAACGGTGCGAACACGTTCGTGTTGTCCAAGGCGCATGACGACTTTGACATTACATTTCTCGACTACGACAAGCATCAGCTGACAGCAGCGCCACACGAAAATCTGGTGCCCCCAGTGCTGCATCACATCGCTCTGGGCGAGCACGGCAGCCGCTGGAGGGACGACTGGGAAACCACTGTGCAAAGTTGCATCGACATGCACCGGGGCTGGGAGGTGCACATGTGGACGGACGAGTCCGCTGCCCAATTTCGTTGCTGGGAAGTAAGCCGCCGCGGCAGCCTCGAACCAGCCTCGCCTTTAGTCCTCCTGCTGGACTTAAGGATGATGGAACCTGTGGTCTTGTCACTCAATTTTCCATCCCCGTCGTCTTGGAGGTGGCATCGTACTCCAGCGTCGCCGCGGCGAGATCCAGCCAGCGCCGTGTTACAATCCAACGGGTGACCGTCTGGTCACAGTCATGGCCGCGAGTAGATAACCAGGTCTCCAGTGATCTATCGAAGCACGCGCCTCGACTTGAGGGTATCTCAACGGACTTATAAGTCACTCCTGCTCACCTTACGCAGAGCCTAGGCTACTCCCTTAGCAACAGCAAAGCCGTGGGACCTCATAGGCTCCGTTGCAGGCACCCTTCCTGGACTCTGCTTGTGCAGGCCTCACATCAAGGCCGTTGGGGGATGGCAGCACCAATAGCCACCGGGAGCCAAAGGCACCCACTGGCTCCAGCAACAAGATAACGAAAACAGTATGGTCGGCGGGCCGCGCCGCGCGGGCGGGTGACAAGGTTGACTCAACAGCCGGCCGCCGCTAGCCGATTGCGATCAGCCATGATGCCACCTTTACGTATACGAGTGGCCACTTGCTCCGTCTGCTTTAGGTGGCGTAAGGTGGGCCGCATCAGGAGTTCTCATTATGAGAGGAAGGGTTCACAGCGTGGCCGTGCAGAGAACCTCTATCGGCAAGTCGGCCCGGGAGCCGTAGCATCTCGACCATAGTCTCTTTGCCCTGTCTGGACCTTTTTGTGGACGTGTACCGAGTACCTCGGTCGCTGTCCTCTCGTTCGAGTGTACCCCCTGCCACTCTTCAGCTGAGCGTCATGCTTGGACGGGCGTACCAAGTTGAGGTAGAGCACTAGCCAGCCGTACTATCTCAATCATACTTTACAGCGGGGTTCAGGCCGCCCACGGAGACCCGAGCACCATTTTCGATCCTATTTGCCGACACTCTGTGAGGTTCAACCCCGCTCGTTATAGAAATTCTCGCCGTACTAGCAGCTCCTACCGGACGGCGGGATTGCACACCTTCCAGCCCAAGTTTCTCATCCCAATCAACGACCGGACGAGCACGATAGCAGAGGCGCTACCATAATTGATCGGCGACATGGTCTTTTCGTCCACTGGAGTACTTGCACAGCAGTGGCATGCGCTTCGTGTCGAATTGCCCGCCTTGGTGAAACAATAACCACCGAGGCCGCTGTCGGAACGGTGCCGCACCCGCACTTCCGAACAACCTCACAGGTCACGCTAAAATAATTTGCTGTAGCGTCACGTCTTTAAGATCTGTGGTCGAGGTCTTGCCCATGGATCCAGGAGCGGAAATGGCGCCTTCAGCGATGGAGGATCCGCCTCCCAACAACTTTCACAAGCACAGCCTGAAAGCCGTCCGGAGTCGTTCGCTCTGGCGGGTCCCATGGGACGAAGTCAGGCTAATGGACAACTACTGTGTTGGGTGGTACGGCGTGACCTATGCTGCCCACGCTTCGCATACCGGTATTATCGGCCAGTATCCTCATTACCGGCAGCAGCCGGAGCATCAAGAACAAGCCCGTCAGCAGCAGCAGCTCCCTTACCCAGCACAACAAGATCATCACCAACGACAATATAGAGGTTCTATTCACCATCCAAGGGTTGCAGTCCCAGGTCCGAACACGCCGCCGCTCGGGGTGCCCTCCCATGGCCAGCTGCCGAACAGTTGCGTCGTGTCCTTGGGCCAGAAGCAGCGCGAGACAGAAGTACCAATGATAGGTCTGAGCCATCACATACACGAGCATCGGCTCTCGCACGTCCACTTCGGGGTGGCAGGCCCGGTCTCAACGCAGCCGTACGGTGCGGTGTCATCTCCCACGCAGTCTCCGTACGCCTCGTACAACGTACCGGCAGCCACGAGGTCCCGAGGCGATGAATTCGACTATTCGGCTGCGGGACTGCCTATCGTGGTGGACCAGTCTGCGCTGGCTGAAAACTGTGTCGCTGGAGGAAAACTGTGTCGCTGGAGGAAAGGTGTCGCTAGAGGAAAGGTGTCGCTGGAGGAAATGTGTCGGAGGCCATGTGTCATCCAGTGGGGCGGAAGTCAGAGCGTAACGGCCCGCTTTGGCATGATGCCACGCCTGTATAATTGCTCCTTCGTCGCGCCAATCTGCAGTGTGACGAGTAGCGGCTACCAAATCTCTAGAGGTGCCGACGGGTGATCGATCGTAGGACGAGGAGCCAGTGACACCAAGTAATGCCGCCAGTTCTAGGTCGAAGAGTACGCTGGGACAGGAGCTTTGGGGGTGGGATTTTCGCTTTTACAGCATTCCGCTGCCTGGGAGTGGATGGCAGGCCTGGTCGTCATCTTCCCTTGCTGCAGCACCGCCTCCCAACGCAGCTCAAACAGCTGCAGCGCGCGCCGACAAAGTAGTTGCACTGGTCCTCGCGCACGAAGTTGGCGCCCTCGCGCGGCTCCACCACCAGCTGCGTCTGCTCGCCCGGGCCGACTTGGTCTTGACGTACTCCATGGCCGCTTCCAGTCGTCGCTGTCGAGCTCGCGCAATGCGCGCGCCTCATCTCGGCGTCGCACCACCGAACCTGCTGTTGGCGATGCGCACCAGCTCCTCGGGCGAGTATGCCAACAACTCGGCCTCAAGCTCGTGCAGCAGCGCCTTGGGCTTGGGGAGCGACAGCCAGACGCCGTCCATGTGTGCGAGCGGCGAGTCTCGACGATGCGCCATAGTCAGACCGTTGAAGCAGATGAAGTGAAAGTGAAGTGAGGGGTGTTGAGTGCCAACAGCGTCGAGTGAGACGGTCCCTCGTTGTTGGTTCAGTCCTCCGGCTACCTTCTCGCGCAACTCCCCGCCTTCCTTGTTCCACACCTACTTGGGTTTGCGTGGCCCGCTCGTTAGGATTTCCAGGTGGTAGCAGAAGGTCCAATATCCCCATGTCCATTTGTGCTGTGGCCAGCTCGCAAGAGACAATAGCTTTGTCCAGACAACCGCAGAACTTACGCAGCGGGCGTCTCTCTATTCTCATTGCAGAACTGGACATCCACCCATGTGGTATGAGCCACATCGCAAAAGCTGGATACGAATGTACCTCACCGGCTCATGGCAAGACGTCAACGACCTGGCGGCGAGTACGAAAGCACTCTCCAGGCCGCCACAAAGGGAGGCCACAGATAAACTGTGCAATTTTCTTGCATGAAAGAGTCAACGCCAGCGCCCAAGTTGAGCATTACTACACTCAGAATCCAGACTACAAGATCTATCTTAGCAGAGCAGCAACGACGGGCTGCTTAGACAGGCAGAAGCCGAGGACCTATTTCACGTTGTGAGGCTCAGCACCAGTCCCGACAGTTGTTCAAATCTCCACAGCGCGTAGCCATCATAAGTCAAGACGTACGATTACTTGATGTCCGGTAAGTGCAACAAGAATGAGACCTCGATGAGATAGGAGGGTTGAAATCCGCTAGCTACAGTACCTAGAAGGCCCTCTGAAAGGCCGTAAGGAGCGGCCAGAAGTAAGGTTGCTTTCTTTGTTCCACCGCTCCAAGATTCGGCCCAGCTTGTGGAGCTACAGTGCAGCTAGGCTTGAAATGAAGGACATATGGACACCGGCCGCTGCTGCGACGGTGAACATTGCGCGTAGGTCGTCACGACTTGCCCGCTCATTGACTACTCGCGCTGCTGCAATTCCCCGCTTCCTGGACTGATACAAATGGTGACGCACACATTCCACTTCAGAACATTGTCCCTTGTTGGAGCCGTGACAGCCCGCACTTGCTGTATTTCGTACAATGTTCCATCTCCGGCCAAGGACAGCATAGGGTCTTGTGAATGTGGCAAGCTCTGCGGTGGTGTGGAAGGCTGTGAGCAATTGGGCATATCCCGTGCGCCCTTGCGCACCGAAAGTGCGGAGACAGATAGGCTCCATAACCCCGGCCAAGGAGAAGCATGAATTGGCCCATGTGGTACAGTTGTCCGGTAGAGACTTTTCATTCCACACCGGCATTGCCATGGAGCCGGGGCGAGTTGTGGCATTGTGGAAACACGTGCCCAGTTCTGTATGGACATGGAGTAAGTGGACAGTCGACCAGACCCAGACGCCGCTTTCTGGGCGTCATTGAGCGGTGTCTCCCGCTACCTTGTCTTCCGGTTCCTGACAAGCAGGCCACACCATTGAAGTGTGGTCAGGTGTGGTCAATCTGGCTCGCGCAATCAGAAAGAAGAATTTGGATATGGGGCTGCATCCAGATGAGGTGGCAGCATGACACTCCGTGCCGTGCGTAGAGAGCGTCGTCTAACTCATGTCATGCTGCTCGCTGATTTGGATTGCGTGGTGCCAGGGCCATGTGTTGTGCGACGCTGCGGGTCCGCCGTCCAGTTTTCGACATGCAGATTCCTCTTTCAAGAGCGTGCGACTGTCCTTTTCTTCACGCGGCAGTTACCCACCGATCGTTGGCTTCTGGTCGCGCCGTTTGCCTGCATCTCACTTCGTCCGCTCCCTGACGTGGTCGATTAGTGACGTGAAACATGTAAGTGGATGCAGCGGCCGGGACCCGCTTCGTCCGATGCCTGACATGCAGACAGGGCAGGGACGTGCACCGACCAATTCTCTCTGCGTCGTGTTGGCAGCTACGGTACATGTCGGTTTCTCGACATTGGAACGTAGCGGCAACCAGAACTTGCCGTGCAGATCATTGCGAAGTATGGGAAACCACTTCGTCCAGTTCTTGCGTCGCGTGTGGCAGCTACAGTACATGTCAGCTTCGCAACGTGGTTGCATGGCGACGGCCAGTTCTGCCGTGCAGATCAATGAGGATTGGCGGTGGTCACATCGTCCGTCTGGGCCATCAACATCCGGACCCGACGAAGGCCGCCATGCAGGGCGCAAAGACGGGCAAGATGCCATTAATCCGTCCAATTCCTTCATGTGGACGGCGTCGTCTGGTTCCAGACATGCCGCTCGCTGATGTGGAGCCTGTGCCGAGACGAAGTCGCAAGGGTTTCTGCCTTCTAAGTGTCGACTATGGCAATGGCGGACATTGTGCAAAGCTTGACAAGCAGATCACCGTAGCACACGCGGACTTGGCACATTCTTCGGGTGCACGCTACGTCGCGGCTAAAATCGGTTTCCTGATGTTGTCTGGTGGCATCTCCTGCTGCCGCGATCGAGCTGCCGCGTCCGTCGCTTCCTGCCGTCCAGTCTCTGCTTGTCGTCGGCTGCTACAGGTCATGTCACTTACTCGACATCGTTGCGTGGAGGTGTGTCCATTTCTATACAAGACGCTATGGGGCCACAGGGCCTGGTTCTGGATGTGCAGATCTAGTTCGGACGCAAGTCCAGAGTAGGGCCAGTAACGTCACAATGGTGCCGTTACTGTACGTTTGCATTACGGACTTACGGTAGCCACACAGTCTTCCGGGCCTGTCCATTTATCCAATTACAGTCATAGCCACGGCCGGTATGGCCCAGGGAGAGTACTGTAAAGACGAGGATACGGCGTTCTTTTGATGTGTCTAGAAGCTGGTCTAAGACAGGGTGGTGATGGAGGTAGTCGTATGTGGACATAGCCTCGCCCATGACGCCTTTGCGGCTCTTCTGAACGTAAGGGACCCAAGGCCAGAATAGTTCACGGCAACAAGCCGCCATAGCGGCAAAATCACGCCTGTTGCGGCCACTTGTCCAGGTGGAGAGAATGCAACCGGGAATGACACTGAAAGGCAAAGGCACAAACCAGCCTTCTTTCTAGTGGGCAAAGGGTTACGTTCCCAAGCGGACGTCTACTGCCGGGTCCGGGGTGCGGGTAGCACCCCATGGCGGCAA